GAAAGTGACAGTGGAAATTCTGTGTATTGCAAAGTTGTATTGAGAAAGAATAAACTAGTTTTATTTAAGAAAAATGATACCGGAAATTAATAAACGACCAGAGACGTAACAGTACTATTCATTTTGTTTAGCGCAATTTTGATTATTTGCCAAGAATAAAGCAGGTGGTGTTTTACTCTTTATTTGAATTTTTTAAATAATTATTTGTAAGACATAAATCCTCTGTTATAAAATCATTTAATTCAAAAATATGCATAGATTTCGTTCTGTTAATTTCAGTAAGCAGTAGTACTGGCTGCATTACTTTTATAATTACACTTTACAGTAGGCCCATTGCCATTTTTATATTAAATTAACAATACAACTTAATAAGTATTTGTGTAATCTACGTTTAATTTTATTGCTAATCTTACTCCTTCCTGCTAGTGCCAGAAATAGGAAGTAGAGCTAGTACCAGTAGAAGCCGGAGGCTTGGAATTTGGAGAAGAAGAAATAATGGAAGTTTGTGTAGATTCAATTACATCTGCACTAAATGCACAAAAAGGGGGTTTGTGTTAAAGTTTATGTTTAATAGTTTTTATATTTATTTGTTTCGTTTTAAATTCAATAAGTGTGTTTTGTCAAGCTCGTAACAGCTAATAATGAGTAATAATTTGTTCTGCATGAAAACAGAAGTTGAAACTGTCAGGTTCACTAACTTTTTTTTTTTTAAAGACAGCAAAGTAAAGGTAACAGTTAGACTCTGTTGTTCTGCTTTTATCATTGCCATTGGGACATTCACCACAGTAAGTGAATATACAATGATGAAACATTATTAAATATAACTTAATCGTAAATTTACATTAATATTACTATTAGTTACTTTACCTTAGACTAGGCCTGGCATTTCCTGGTGTTTAGGATGATTGGCTTGCAGTCCGTAGATTGTGGGTTTGAATACCTGCCTCTGAACATGTTTACCATTATAACCCTGGGAGCATTATAATGTGAGGGTCAATCCCATTATTTGTTAGTAAAAAAAGTAACATGAGAATTGACAGTGGATGTTGTTGCCTAACTGCCTTCCCTCTAGTTTTTATTAATAAATTAGGGATGAGTACCTGGAAAAATGGATGGCACCAGGTAAATCTTCCCAAGAGCCACTGATGATGCTGCAGCATATAAGGTGCCCCAATGGCCATAACAGACCTCTGAGTTCATAAAAACAATGATGACAAAAAACTAGACACAAAGCACTAGTAGTAAAGGAGAGGTACTCATATTATTATCACTACTAATTGTTCCAGTTGTTAATGTTAATCATGTGTGAAATAAATTTGTCTGAAAACACTTATCTGCAAGTGTTTGTCATGGAAAAGTATTTAGCTCCAGAGTTATAAACATTGAAACATTGATCTTTATTTTACTTGATGCATGTCTGTCTGGTTTTTGTGGAGAACCTGGAAACTACTAGTTGTTAGTCTATGTGACATAGTGAGATATATCTTAAAAATATAAGGTGCAAGTTTGGTGTTGGAAAAGTGTTTAATTTAAAATTGAAAAAAAACAGAAGACAACAGCAGTGACTTACCTTATTTTTTAAAGGAGTACCATCCTTTTTTTTTCTGTAAAAGGTCTACCACTTGAAAGCTCATGTGTTATCAAATTACTTATTTAAAGATTTCATTATTATACTCAAAACACATTCAAAGTAACTTATTTTTAGCATCATTACAGAGCATTTTTTAATGTATTGAAACATGTTATATACATGTACATGGTAAGGTTATTGAATACCTTAATATTTAAGGTAAAGCAAAGTAATGACTGTTGATCTTTTTACTTTAAGTAATAATACTTTTACTGAGATTAAGATATTTTTCAATTTTCAACATAAATGTAATTAAACAAAACAACACAACTGTTTGATTGAACAATTTAGTTTGCTGGATAAGCAGTACTGTACTGTTCCAACATGGTGGTACCGTGCAGATACCACAGATTCTCCAAATACTAATATCAGAAATAAATTGCAAGCTGTATTAGCAATACTGGCAGGTACGGTAAGTGTAACCTGAAATAAAAGTGTAACTAAAAGCAAGCCATATCATGTAAGGATTTTTTTTTTAAACTAGGAAACATTTTAGAATTCAGTTGACGTATACAAACACATTCTGAAACTTTTTGATTTAAACATGTTATTAAAAACACAAGCAGTAGCATCCTTATATTACTGTCAGCCGTGATGCTAGAACAGAAGTCGAGCAAACTGATTTCAAAAAAGGCTGCAACCTCTTTCTGTTCCACATCAAGCAGAATGTGTCCGAGTCTGTTCACCTTATTAAATCACCCTTATATAAATTTAGCAAAATATTTTTAATTAGCATCTGTTTTATATGAAAGAGAAAAAAGTATAAGTCTGGAATCATTAAATTTTTCAGTATATTTGTTACCATGCTGTAGTTACTGTTTAAAGATTTGATTAATAGGACCAAAGCAGCTCAAGATGGCAACTTCCCAGATAATTTAAGGTGGTTGTTTCAGATTGAAGTAAAGTTCAAAAGGACAACTAGCCAGATAATTTAAGTTGGATGATGTTATGGATCACTTTCATGTTCCTTCTTCAGGTTAGTGTGGCATGTTAATGTATGGAATTTGCATCTGTTGTCTGAAAACAGGCGAAAAGTTTCCAGTAAGTATTTGAATTTTATTGGTTGGAAAATGTGTTTTAACATTGTTGGCTCTTGATTCTTATAGGTCAGGGATTGTGTTATGTGATTGGCTGGTTTTTTTATTGGTGTAATCCAGATATTGTTAATTTCTGATCCTTGGTCTCAGTTCCATTCTAGTTTTTGGTTTGTAATGTACATAGCTTCTTTGATTTTCTGTTTCTTTGAGTCTTTTTCTCTGTCAGTAACTCTGCACTTATCTCCTTCAATTTTATGTCTCATGTCAACACTGTGTTCTATAATAGCAGGGGTGCTGGTTTTTGTTGATTGAACAGTATCTTGGTATTCTTTTGATTGTTGCCATAAATGGCTACCCATTTTTCATATGTATTTATTTCCCCAGCTGTAAGGTGTTTTGTGTATTGCTTCTTTAGTTGTGAGTTTATATTTAGGTGTTTGGTATGGGTTAATAAGTTATTGAAGAGTTTTACTAGACTTAAATCAAACTTCTACTGGAAATTTTTAATATACACTATGCACTACGTAACTGAGTCTTGGTATTTTCATTCCCTAGAAAACTCATCTGCATAAACAGATTATATTATTGAGCCCAAAGGTCAAACTAGAATGATCACTACATTTTTCTGAAGAAGCCTAACTTGTTAAAGCATAAGTGCTGTAAGTGGTTAAAAGCTTATTTAAAAATATGTAGCTATGATTTTCTAAGTCTGTTATAATGCATGTTTTTTTTTATTTTTACTCTTTTGAAAATAGGTGCTTCTCGAATTGAGCTGTGTTCAAGCCTTGCAGAAGGAGGATTGACCCCAAGTATTGGTGTGTGTACAGTTGTACTTGAATTCTTAACACTGAAAGTATATTTATTGAACTTTGATTAATTTATCAAGTTTATGTAATAAAATGGTTTCTTCTGCAGTACACTTTTAATTGTTGTTATAAACTGTTATAAATTGTTGTTTCTAACTGGTAACTAACCTTGATGGGTAGCCACACTAATGTACTTATTTTGCATTATATAATGTTTTAATAATTAAGTGCATGTCAGTAATTTTAATTTTGAAATTAACATAGTGTAGTTGGAAAATCAAAAGGGGTTTAAATTCTAAAATATCATCAGATCAGCTACATTCTACTTTCCAGACCATAAACTTAAATGATTTCCTGTATACTTTTGATATGTAAATGTTCATTGTATTGTTATCCAGTAGCTAATAATTCGAGATTTTATATATATTGTTACAGAAAAGTTTGAAGTGCACAATTTAGTGTTTAAGATTTAGTGGAAATCTCCTTGTTTGTATTATTCAACATCTGGCGAGTTTTCTTTTCATACTATTTTAAAATTAGAATTTATTTTGAAAACAAGAATCATTCTCCAACGATAGTAAAAATGTGTGTATAACCATTTCTCTTTGTTTACCCAAATTGCATACATATTGGTGTTGAGGTAATAAAGGTATGATATGTTTGTGGTCTCTAGGATTAATCCAGAGAGTGAAATCCTTGGTTCAGCTGCCAGTATTTGTAATGATCAGGCCTCGAGGTGGAGATTTTTGTTACAATCAAGATGAGCTGGAGGTAATGCTGGCTGAACTGTCAGCAGCAAAAGATAATGGTGTGGATGGTGCCGTTTTGGGAGTTCTTACTAGGTGCAAGTTTCCTACATATAAATGTATCAGAAATTAGTGTAGCTAATTCTTGATATATATATATATATAAGGTGTATGTATATTTTAAATCTGTTTCAGAACCCACAAAGAAAAGCAAAGGTGAATATGCCATAAGATATTCACAAACATCACATTTGCTATAAACAGTGTTGACAAGGCCTTTTGACCAATACTAGAGCTCAACTGACTGACTGTGATAAAACAGATATAGCAGTAGTGTATATATATAGACACACACACACACACACGCACTGTTCATGAAAAACAGCTGTTAAGATATGAATCAGTTTAAGCAAGTGAATTATAGATATTATCATTAATATTATTTACATCACTTACGAATCAGATTTGTAGGTAAGAATTAATAACATAACATTATTTTAACACTGTTTATTTATTATTTGTATTTAAAATAACTTTAATATCATTCACAAAAATTGCCAAACCAACAAGCTAGTTTTATTGTTCATAATGTTAATAAAAAGTATCCAAACTGCTTATTGAAATTTTTCAAAGGTACAGAAATGTTTACAAGAAGACAGTAAACATTGACCATGAATGATCATGTATACAGTAATATCAGGCTATTTTCTCCAAGTCTCAATTACAACAGTCATTTCAATTTTTGTAATGTACGGAGACATCTCAAAAGTAAATAAACACCCATGATTTTTTCAATAGTCATTTATCTCACATTATCAACTCAACAAAATGGTTTACAAATGTGCATCAGTACTTAGTCGATTTGCCACTAGCATTTTTCATTGCTTTGACTCATTCTGGCATGGAATCGATGAGATCTGCAATTTTCTCTTGTAAGAGCTTGACCCAGGCTGCACGCAAAACATCAAGTAGCTTTCCACGGGATGCTGGTTTTCTGGAATTTCTTCTCACTGCTCGAGCAAGTATGGTCCAGACATGTTCGATGGAGTTCATTGGATGCCTTTCTTATTTAAATGACTATTGAATAAACATCATGGTGTCTGTTTACTTTTGAGATGTCTCTATATACTCATGAAGATACATCAAACAAATATTGAAGGATGATTAAATAACACAAAGATTTGTTCACACTACTTGCCTTTCTCTACCATTACTTTTAACTGATTAAAGGATGATGTAATACTAAACCTACACTTTTCTTTCTAATCTTTGCAACTACTCAGATTTTAGATTCTTATTTACATAAAGTTCTTACTGCATGATGTATTGGAAACTACCCAAATTAATATGGTTGACTATGATGTTAAGAAAAATAAACTCTGGCCCTGTTTAATGGAACTGCTGAGCTCTGCTTGTTGCTAGGTAAATGAATCTACATGTGTGTAAGTATACAATATTGAACTAGTCATTTGCCTCCCATGGGTCACTTCTCTCCCTATCACAAGCATCTCTGAAACATTTTGAGACAAATTGTAATAGGTTTAAAACATTTCATCTTTATACTTAAGGAAACTTTGGCTGTTTGTTTTTCTGAACTTCTATCATTTTCATGTAGGTAGTTGAGTAATTATAGTTTTAAAAGATGACAGGAGGTAGAAATCAAATGAGAAAAAGAAAGTTGATAAAATAGTGTTCTACAATATGTAAGTACACTATTGTATTAGAGGAATGGCTTAGCACTTGTGACATTTGAAATTTTGATTGAGTTATCAGTTTAAACTAATTGGTGGATGAATTTGTTTATGCTATATCGGAACTTATAACACATGACTTACATATTCTGTGACAAAAAGTTTTAAGTTTTGTATTGCATATGTTCAAGAAAACATTTAATTGGATTTCTCAGACTTTTTTTTTTTACTTTTTTGTGTTTTCCTGATCACCTGCATGATTTTTTATATTTAGGACTGGTGATGTTGATGTGGAGAAATGTCAATGTCTTTTAGGTATGTTTACTTGAAAAATTTTCTTCTCATTTTCAAGTTAGTATATAAAGCTTTAAATAGACCTGTAAGTAATTTATGTAAAGGCCTCTGAAGTACTACCTGGTGGACATTTGGCCCACCTTTCACTATAATCGTTACTTTATAAGGGTTTTGATTATTACCAGGACTAATTTGCCAAAATATGTTTCTTAAAGAATTATGAAATAAAGAAGGGTACAAAATTAGATAATTTTGCTTCACATGGTCTTTGATGCTTAATAATTTGATACTAGAAAAAAAAGATTGCAAAACTTAATTTATTCTAGATATCTTCCTTGACTTGGATATTTTTTAGAATTCAAGTGTAATGTCAAACTTATTCTTTATCAATGTCTAAGTGTAAGGCCTCATTTTCACGTCCTTACTTTGTATATAACCACACACACACACACACACACACACACACACTCTGTGTTAGGCAAAACAAATGTATACATTGGTGACTTTGAATATTTAAAATATTTTGTTTGAGATACATATCTGGCAAGTAGAAGTAAAATACATGCTTAGTTAGCTAGGAAAGTGAATAGTTTTTTTAGGTCATTTGAGGCCCTATCATCAGGTCAACATAGTTTGGTGTTGTCTGGAGTTATATAGGTAGGTGGCCTACTGCGCTTGGCATATTTTCATTGGTACATAATCCTGGCATCTGATTGGTGTGTTTTTGAATCAGTAAGCCACAAACTGTTTATTTCAGACCCTCAGTTTTGAAGGCAGGGTGATTTTTAGGGGGGGGGGGGAGTCTACTTTGTGTTATAGAGTATATAGATGATACATTCATCATTTAGTAGTGTGGATTTCAAACAACTACACAACATCTGAATACCAGGCATTCCAACATCAATTTCACAGGGCCTTTCTAATGATTAATAGTAGATTCACCCCAGGTTAGGATCTTAGAAATAACTTCCACATAAAGCCTGCATTTAATGACTTGCAGAGCCTTTCCCTTCATTGTTAGTAAATTTGCCCCAGGAAAGGATCTTACAAATAACTTCCACATAAAGCCTGTATCTAAAATCTCAGAGCTCTTCCTTTCATTGAAAGCAGATTCACCCAAGGTTAATGTCAGAAAACAAATGTCTAAAGAATGTCTTAAACTCCAATCAAAAGTAAGACACATCAACATGTTATAATACAAACCTCAATGCCAAAAAAACATGCCAGAATCACCCTCGTGTTCAGCTCTACAGTCCAGAAGAATTGCAAAAATATTCAAGTCCGATTCAGATCAGCCAAGTGCTTCACAGTCTCTTAACCCAAATAAAATCATATATACTTAAAATAAGAGGTTATTTAAAATGTGTCTTTCCACTGTGAAGACAAATATATACAGGAGAAACAGGCAAATATTTTGGAAAAAATAAATGCACCAAGATGATATCAGAGTAATAAAATCCAAACTTTCACAATTGCAGAGTATATTGCTGATGTGAATATAGATTGGAAAAACTGCAGAATTAGTCAAAGAATTTTAAAATGCACAAAGTGAAGTGAAATATGCAGTGTGTGGTTTATTGATTCAGAAATGTGCCAGTCGGATACTGGAACAGAACCTCTTCTTCAACCCTGTGGCAACTGATCTGTGTGAATGTCACTAGAATCACCAGATTGTACTGACCAATCAGAGGCTAGAATTTCCTCAAGAACAGGAGCCCTTCTTTATTGTCATAACTGTTTAAACATCATCAGATTGTACTGACATGGTACAAGTAATCTATAATGTTATTTTCTGAACTCTTATTAAAGTATTATTTAGAGAGCTGACACTGAAACTTGGTTTTCATGTTCTATTTTTAGATCATGCTCATCCATTGCCTGTAACTTTTCATAGAGGTAAGGCCTTTTATTCACAATGTTTTCTATTCATTAGATGTATTTCATGTAATTTTCAACAAAAACTGAAATGGTACGTGTTAATAGGCTAAAGAATTTGCTATAAAAATGATACTTTTTTTAGATGCAGACATTACCTACTAAGGATGTTTAATGTTCATAACACTCAATTTGTATCACCATCTACTGCTGATATCCTGAAAGTGTTTCATGTTTTAAATTCGTGATCTCTGTGTTTATGATTAATAAGATGGTCAGTAGCCTGCTTGGAACGTACTCAAGATCTGGTAGCTTATTTTTTATATTTTGGTCAGAACTGAGAGTTAATGTGTTGGTGGCTTAACAACTGATTTGGTGTTATTAGTTTATTAGTCTCAAAAGTTGGTTTGTTGTTATGTGTTGGGCTCAACTTCTGATTTGGTGTTATACATTTGTGTTTTTGGCTCAACACTTGTTTTTTTTTTATGTTTAGCTTAATGGTAGGTTTAGTGTTATGTATTGTGTGTTACTGGCTCAGCATCTGGTTTTGTGTTATGTGTTTGGCTTAAAAGCAGGTTTGGTGTTATGAGTTGTGTGCTAGTGGCTCAATTAGTGTTAGTTTGTGTGTTTTGGGCCTAAGAGTGCCGCATGTGTTTATGGTGTTGTATACTTGAGATTTGAATAGTGAATTGTAAAGATGACTTTCATAATCGTAGGTTTAACTTTACCAAAGAAATGTTTCATTGATATTTTAATACGTAATAGCTTTATATATTTGGTGTTTGTGGATGGAGTGATTGAAAAATAAAATATTGAAATAATTAAATCATAGCATGTTTCTAAACAGTCTTATGAAGCTTAACTTTTTTTTAAATGTTAAAGGTAATTTTCTTTAGTTCGACCATGGCTTCTTTACGTAAAGGTAAGAGAGATTATTTAGTCAGTATTATTAACTAGAAAACTAAGCCTAGAAATAAATGAAGTTTGACCACGCAATCTTTATAACAGTGTATCAATCTATCTTTTCACTATTTATGAAGGTAACTATATCCTTACCTTATAGTTTGATACATATTGTGATTGTTTTTTCACAATATGATATGTATCATGATACATGGCTATTTTAATTTTTAGTACAGCAACTACAAAATGATCAATACTTCACTTGTGAAGAAGTATGAAATTTATTTCTTAAAATGAAACTGTTGATCATCTGAAATGTTAACTTTATGGCAAAAGATATCAAAGGCACTGTTTAACCATTCGTATAAACTTTTTTATCCATAAATGTTGCCAAAATTGTGGCCTGTTGTTCCATATAATGAGACAGCACCTCAGAATTAGAATTCCATCTGGCAGGGATGTCTTAAGTCAGCTTGTGCTGAGGAAGCTTAAGCATAAGCTGATTTGGTTTTAGTTTAGTATTTGATAACTCTGTGGAAAAAGGAAACTTATTTTTTTTACCCATCTTAACGACCTATCTATTTGTGACACGTGTAAGCTTTTCTGGGCAGCCAAGTTAACAATGTGTGCAAAGCATCACACATGGGGTGAGTGTTATGCCACTTTTAATGCATTGCCAACATTATTTGCATTATCAGTTTTAAGCTGGATTTTTAATCTTTTTTAATTCCTGAGAAGATACAGCCTCCTTCATGTGCTCAGCCATTATGCGACTCATTTATTTGTTTTGTCTGTAAAACAGGATGTATTTTGCAGCTATTGATTATAAAACGGCCAATAATAGTGATGTAGATTTCTTTAGATCTTGAAGTCCGTCTATCACTGGTAAGGACGACAGAAGAATCACTTTTTAGTTTAATATCAAGCTTTTCTTTTTCCATTTTATTCAGGTCTGGAATTATCACTGCTCTAAAGTGTGTCTTAGAAGGATATTGTATCTTGGGTTGAAAAACTTAAGCAAAAGCCAGGATTTTCTACAACTGAAATTAGTTTTGTAGCTCTAGCGATAAAGATCCCAATATCTCCTCTGACTGTTTGGGTTTAATTTCATTTCAAATACATATTGAAGTTTTAGCTAAGGGACACTTTGCCCTTTACTGCTTACAGAAAGTGAAGCTTGTGAGAGTTTACCTTTAATTTTCTTCATTTCTTGTAACATAACATGTTTTCTTCTCGGATGTGTGGTCTTGTTTGAAATTGTTCTCATTTTGTAACTGACCTTTGCCCTAATAATTTTATTTATTGTTTTCAAATGGTCATTTTTCTTATTCTGTTTGGATACAAATCTTTAAACTCAAACAGTTGATTTGCAGGACAAAGATGTGTCCTCTACTTTATGCTTCGACGAATCATTCATTTTTGACACAGCGTGTTTTTTTGCTTTACCTACCATTTATTGAATAATTTGATACATGGTATCAGGAGGAAATAAAAAACCTCACTAATGGATTTCCAAGCTGCATTTCTAAAAATAATGAATTCTATGTTTCAAATGGTTATATTATACTATACATAGACTGATCACACCCTTGCATAGAAAAGTAAATCTGTAATTTATATTATATAAAGTGTTTGTTTTTTATAATGTAAAAGAAATAGAAAATGGTACTGAACTACAAGACAAATGAATTGTGGCCAGTGAACTGTGATGAATTGTAATTTCAGTGGATCGTTAAAGTCCTGCTACTTATTCTGATTGATTGAAAGTCTGTTCGACCCCTGACACACGCTACACTAAGCTTACTGATTTAACTTGCACTTGCAATCTACTCGTGTAAAAGGTACAAAACATTCTAGGTTTAGAATTTTTAATTACCACAATAAACAATGATAGCTATTAATCCAAAATCATAATCAAAGTAAAAATATTAGTGAATAATGTGTCTTATTAAGGAATAACTATTTTTTGTATATTGATAATTTATTTAGTTTTTTTTTACAATTCTCAAGTATTAAAATGTTTATAAAAGATTTTTGTTTTGTTTTTTCTGTTAGCTTTTGACTTGGTTCAAGACCCTTTGAAAGCTCTAAGTGCAGTGAAAGCATTAGGGTGTAAAAGATTATTGACCAGTGGTCAAGCACAATCAGCATTAGATGGCCTTCCCCTGATTGCACAACTTGTAAAAGAGGTGTGTTATGTAATAAGTTCTTAATTAAGGTAAACATTTACTGTAACTATATACCTCTACAGTTATAGTGTTGTGCAAAAGTCTTCCCCCCCCCCCCTGTGATGGTAATAAATTTTAGTTATTTTTTTTTATAGACATAACTTAAATTGCCAAAAATATTTATTATATTCATTTCAGACCAGTTTCTAAAAATTACAAAGAACAAAAGGTGCATTGTAACCCAATTTAGTAATATAACAAAAAAAATCTTAAACACATGCTGCAAAAGTGTTCACCCTCCCCTCAGCTTTTACCTTCGATTATTTAACTTTACATCACTACCCTGCTAAAGTAAATACAGGTGGTTCTGTACAACTCTATCAGATACCAAAGTATATTATAGAGCCATGAGAAAAAATAATTCCGGTCATATAGAGCCATCAGTATTGATTTAAGCAGAGTATTTTGAAAGTTAAAATTTGGTTTACTGTTACATATTGAAAATGATGAAAAAAGAACTCTCTACAGACCTAAGGGAGAAGGTTGTTCAGAACTACAATTCCAGAAAAGGCTTTAAGTCAATTTCAGAGGTTTTCAATTTGTCATTAAGTACTGTAAAATCGGTTGTGAAAAGATGGAACATGTGTCACATTACCTCAACCTTGCTAAGTTCAGGTCGCCCTAAGAAAGTCTGCCTTTGAACAAGCAGAAAAATTGTTAGAGAAGCGACTGTCAAGCCAACAGTGACACTGAAGGAGCTACGGATTTCAATAGCAGCAACTGGAATTACTGTACACACCTCAACAATATCATGTACTCTACACAAGGAAGGCTTGTATGATAGGGTGGCAAGAAATAAACCACTACTGATGAAAATGCATCTTAGATCGCGAATGGACTATGCCTGTAAACATTTCAATAACCCTACAACAATGTGGCAGAAAGTTCTATGGTCAGATGAGACCAAATTAGAACTTTCTGGGTTAAATGATAAATGGTATGTATGGCAGAAACCCAACACTGCTCATGCCCCATAAATACAGTCCCAACTGTCAAGTAATGTGGTGGGTTCATAATGGTGTGGAGATTTTTTTCTGCTGCTAGCAATGGAGAACTTGTACACATTCAAGGGATCATGGACATTGCAAAATATGCACAGATGTTGGAGGTAAACCTGAAGAAGTCAGGTGAAAAACTAAAACACTGTCAATTCCCAAACACACATCAAAGATGACCCAAAAATGGTTTCAAAGAAACTGAATTAAAGTCCTTGACTGGCCAAGCTAAAGCACAGACCTAAATCCACTCAAATCTGTGGAGAGACTTGAAAATTGCAACTTACAAGAACTGATCCTCATCTGCAAGGAGGAATGTGCAAAAATATCTCCAGCATACTGTGCAAAGCTTATGGAGGTTTATACAAAACGACTTTCAGCTGCCATTGCTGCCAAAGGAGCTTCAACCAAATATTAACTACATTGTCATGTTAGGGGGGGTGAACACTTTTGCAACATGTGTTTTCAAGATTTTTTTGTTTTATCACTAAATTGGGTAACAATGCACCATCTGTTCTTTGTAATCTTTAGAAACTGGTCTGATATTAATATAATAAATATTTTTGGCCATTTGAGTTATGTCTTTCACAAGAAAATAACTAAAATTTATTACCAGCACAGGGGGGTGAAGACTTTTACAAGGCACTGTGACTCAACTAAATGAAGCATTGGAAGTGTGCGTAACAAAACTTTCATTTAAATAACATTGTACTAGAGATATCCAATATGCAATCCATTAATACACTTGTTGGAAGGTGGAGGGAAAAAAACAAATTTAAAAGATATTTTGTATTGTTGTAAGTCATATTGCAAACCATCTGTATATCATAACCCTCAGAAAATAAAACCACTAAAAAAACTGGTGAATTGACTGTTTAGTGTTTTATTATTGTATTAGGATTTATCAAGGGACTTAAATCCTTGAAGGGAGCAGTGTTGTAAGCTGTATTTTTTTACATTCTAAATGAGATGTTTATTTGCCAGAGGCAGTGTGTTATTATGTCATGATGATGTAATGATCTAGAAATTGTGTAATAAGTAGAAAGGGTAGACAATATAAATGTCAGAATCAGTGAAGCAATTAGCAAAGTATTCAATGAACAGGTTTAGTGGTGATTAGACAGTGAGAGTTATTGCATTTGTGAGTTATGTGTACATTAGTCTTCAGATATCAGAATCAGTGAAGCAATTAGCAAAGTATTCAATGAACAGGTTTAGTGGTGATTAGACAGTGAGAGTTATTGCATTTGTGAGTTATGTGTACATTAGTCTTCAGAAGTTCTTTTAAACATTATTTCAACTTAACCTACAATTTCTATGAATGTGAATTAAGAAATAAATTAATCTTTTATTGTTAGGTAAACTTTGCCTACCATTATTTCTACCTAATAATGGAAAAGAACCTACCTGGTGATAGAACATGTAACAACAGTATGATTTTAAGCTTTCATTTGTTTACAGAAAAAAGCTAAGAATTAAAAATAAATCATAAAATATGTTCACCAGATTTTCAGATTTGTCATAATTTGGAACACAATCTACTTCTTATTCAAGCATTCCTTGTTTTCCATTTGCAGTCTGGAGATTTCTTTTCCATAATGCCAGGTATGTTTTATTTTTCACAATTTAATACTTTTGTCATATAATGTGGAATGAAGCTTAGTATCTAGAGCTAACCATTCAGTTGTTATTTTAGAAAAATATATATCACAGAGTTAACCAAGTAGTTATCATTGTAGGAAAACATTACAAGTTTAGTGTTTTTACCATACTATAGTGTGGAATGAAGGTTGGTATCTAAAGCTAACCAGGTAGTTGTTATTTTAGGAAAACATCACAAATATTTGTTTAGTGTTTTTACCATACTATAGTGTGGAATGAAGGTTGGTATCTAAAGCTAACCAGGTAGTTGTTATTTTAGGAAAACATCACAAATATTTACGTTTAGTGTTTTTACCATATTGTAGTGTGGAATGTAGGTTAGTGTCTAGAGATAATGGAGTTATTATTGTAGAAAAACACTACAAATATCTGTTTAATGTTTTTACCATATTGTAGTGTGGAATGTAGGTTAGTGTATAGAGCTAACCAAGTAGTTATTACTGTCAAAAAACATCACAAGTATTACTGTACTGTTGGTGATTTTACTGCTATTAAGACTGATTCTGTTAAATTTACTTACCCTCTGATGGATTGGGTTTCATCTGTTAAAATTATAATTGATTCAAAAACTGTCTAAATTTTTCCTGTAACAGTTTTACTCCATTTTTACACAAAAAAATTGTATGTTTTAGAAAAGTATTTGTACTGGAGTTGTGTCTGTAAATTGCTGACGTCACTCTGACTCTCAACATATCAGTGTGTAAGGTGATGTTCGTGTGAAGAATAAAAATAATTTTGTTCATGAAACAATTTCCATATTGTATTTGCACAATCTCTAGAACATCCAAAATGTTTATCCACAGTTTTTTCAGTATGCCCATATATAATAATTGGTATTTACTATAAACTATCATTAAATCAGTAGTGTGGGCTAAAATGAAAAATTGATGACTATTGCATCAAATAAATAGTACCATATTGAATGGTTTAAGGTTATGACATGCCCACTTTGCAGTAGTGTGGGCTAAAATGAACAATTGATGACTATGCCATCAAATGAATAGTACCCACTTTGACCCCTAACTGTGCACATAGGGTTAATTTTTCAGCACGATGGTCTCCACATACTATTAACTGTTTCCATAATATGTGTGTGTGACTATTATCTCATAATTTCTCTCTCCTCATTGTAAAAATACTTAACCTATTTAAATGAAATTTAGCATAACCTTACTAAATAGTTCCTAGTTTCATGAAATGTTGTGCAAACCTACTACATAGTATGTTGTTTCATGAAAGTAGTGTAAACATACAAAATAGTACCCAGTTTTCCTCAAATGTTCTGCAAATTACTAAATAGTCTCTAGTTTAATAAAACATAATGCAAGTTTACTAAATACTTAGTTTCTGCTGAGAAAATTTCATATAATTTGATTTAATTTCTCTAATTTTTAAGGTTGTGAAATTTTCAAAATTTTGTTCTTGCGAGAATATTTTGAAAAAAATATTTAAAGTATATCTTTCATTTTAGCATTTAATTTTTTCATTGTTGTTGTTCAACATAAATTTTCATTTTTTATATATCTAGTCAGTTTCAGCTTGTTTGATGTTCATTAATATATTTCGTTTGATACTGTATTTTTACAATTGAAGCAGACACCACTTTTGGTTATAAACTATGAACATTTAAAACTGTCATATATTTATCACCTTTCAAAATGGTGTATCTTAATTTTGCCAACAATATCTTTGGTAAAAATAAATTTATATCTAATAAATATAGTTTGTTTTCAATAAATAATAAGTTATTTTATTTGTATCTATTGTTTGAATATGAGAACTTGAATGACAACAATAATTTTCAAAAAATGTAGTTTTGTCATTGGTTACTGTTCTCTAATTAAACTTGTATAATGTTTTATCATAGCAGAATATTCCTGTAGCATTCAAGCAAATATGTATTTAATGAAAACGTTTTTATGAATGAAAAAAATGTGAAAATAAATCATAAAAATATTCCTATATCTTTGGTTTATTCTTAAGTATTGTAAATATCAATTAGTATCCTACATTCACTCCTAATAAGTTCATAAACTACAGTTGTTTACTCAATATTGATGTATGTGATTAGAATCTCTTCTACTATAGCTTGTAGTTTCTTTATTTCACCCAATATTGGTATGTATAGATTAGAATCTCCTCTATCTTAAAAACAATCTTGAAAATAGCTAGCTTAGTAGTTGTTCAGACCACATGCTGTGATATGAGAAAAGGGGGCCAAGAAAGAGCTGTAGTGATAAAAATACTGACAGAGAAAGAAAATCATATGAAAAATTAAACAAAAATCTTTGTATTTAAGATGGGCAAAACTTTTCTTTAAAAAAAATATCTACGAGGAAAGAAATATTTGATATAGAATTAAGGTGTAATTTTTTACTAAGTTTTGTAATATGATATAGAGTTGTGCACTTAACACATGAACGTTTTGTAATATGATATAGAGTTGTGCACTTAACACATGAACGTTTTGTAATATGATATAGAGTTGTGCACTTAACACATGAACGTTTTGTAATATGATATAGAGTTGTGCACTTAACACATGAACGTTTTGTAATATGATATAGAATTGTGCACTTAACACATGAACGTTTTGTAATATGATAGAGTTGTGCACTTAACACATGAACGTTTTGTAATATGATATAGAATTGTGCACTTAACACATGAACGTTTTGTAATATGATATAGAGTTGTGCACTTAACACATGAACGTTTTGTAATATGATGTAGAGTTGTGCACTTAACACATGAACATTTTGTAATATGATATAGAGTTGTGCACTTAACACATGAACATTTTGTAATATGATATAGAGTTGTGCACTTAACACATGGACGTTTTGTAATATGATGTAGAGTTGTGCACTTAACACATAAAAGGCACACAATAGAATTATCTCTCCACACTTTTAAAATTAACATTTTCCTTAACTGAAAATGTATTTTTGATAGATGTTCGCCTCTTCACATAATTAAATTATCTTACCAGTGGCGTAGCAAGGTTTCTCAGCAACCGGGGGCAAAGACACTTTTGGCACCCCCACCTCTGAAATGTTTTGATTATTTGTTTTGTGACTCATTACCCACTTAATGACAATAACATAAATAATTAATTACCGCCTTACGCAGGCCTAAAATAAAGTCACAATATCACAACTGTAAACCTGGAACTAATGAAGTATAGCCTACTAGGTGTACTTACATAATTTGTAAACCATTTTGATATTTATGTCATCCAGTATTGTTCAAAGTCACATAGTTAGAGTAATCTTTCAAGCATGCAGAATAATTTCTGTTATATCCCTAGTTTTGAAACTTATGTTTTATATGAGAATCCAGTTACTTTTGGTGTACATGGATTATAAAATACTACTTAAGTTTACAAATAACAAATTTTATTAGTTTACAAAACTGTACATATACTTAACTAGATCTTGTACAGGTAGCATTCAAATTAAATTATCAAAATTTAAGGTATTAAGTACATCTTTTTCAATACTTAATATTGTGAACTTACTAAGTCATTCTTGAGTCATAGAGGTTCTCAAGTATGTAAGAATTAATTTCAGCTTGCTGAAGGACCTTTCACAACTAGCAATAGAAACCCCAATTGTTAACAAAATCTGCAATGCAATTCTTAAATTTGGGAAATCATCTTCACCATATGAAATTATAAATGTTAGCAAATCAGTTGCAACCATTGGTTCAGGAAAATTGGTCTGTGTTCTTTTACTTATCAACATTCTACAGTCTTTAATTTCTCTGTACAATTCTGGTCCATCAATATCACCTGGATAGCTCTTTGCTAAGTCAGAATATTTTCTTGCAATTTTCCGTCTTCGAAATCTCCGGAAACAATATTTTGCACATCTAGTAGAAATCTAAACCATGAATCTAAATCTAGTAAGCAAGAAAATCTTCCTGTTATTTCTGTAATCAAGCGAATAATAACCTCCTTCATGATGCGATAAATTTCCTGTTCAGCAGTCAATCCAGCATCAGCTGCATTTTTACCTGGCATTCATTTACGATGTATTTTTCTTCTTTCAATGGTCAATCCCCATGTTTCACATTGATTCTTGACCACTTTAAGTGCTTCTTGACAGGGCTTTTCACGTAATTCTGTCAAAGAATCAAGATCAGCAGCTGCTTCTCTAAAATTCATTTTTGGGTCCTGAAGACGTTTCTGCATTCGATTGATAGATGATAAAAGATTTCTCCAAAAATGCAAAAGTACAAGAAAATTAAATGTAAGCATGTGTTGCAGAATATTATGATCACCACATTTTGTTTCAGCTGTGTTGTCATTCTCACTTAATTGCTCTAACAGTCCTAGCAATTCATCCAGTTTTCATGTACAGCCTTTACTGCCTTTTCTCTTGCACTCCACCATGTTTCTAATTCATGCTTGACAGAGATCTTAAGCTCCTGCTGCAGTTCGTCCCATCGAGTTGTTGAATGAGCAAAGAAATTATAAATGGCTTCAATTATACCAAAAATGGTAATAACTGTTGTTTCCTGAGTTGCAGCATGAAGACATGCTAAGTTCAAACTATGGTTGTCACAGTTTATAAACACTACTTTTGGATTTTTGTTCAGAATTCTTTATTGAACACCAGACAGATGACCTGATATGACAGCAGCATTATCATAACATCGTGAACAACAATCACTCAATAAAATTCCATCCGCTTCTAATTTTGTGCTTATTGTTTTCTCAATATTGGCAGTGTCTTTTTCCTTTATCTGTATAAAGTCAATGTCAGCAAACCGAATCACTTGGGCAAATTGCTCACGATGGGCTAAATCAGGTGTGGAATCAAACAGAATACCATAGTATTTGTTTCTACGAAATGCTGACAAACAATAATTTCGCACATGTGAAGCCATGAGATTTATAAACTCATTTTGGATTTCAGGAGAAAGATAAGATGTTGACGTTTGCTTGTTTTAACACACACTAAATGCTCTCTCATTACTGGATCATACTTTGCTAATAATTGCAAAAGTAACAGGAAATTTCCAGGGTTTTC